CATTTTTAAATTGAATTTAAATTGCCACTGTAACTTTTGGTGCCCTACTTTATTCTCCATAAGGTGGGGATGGGGTGGCAAGGTTAAACAGTATGATTTTTAGGATTTCTTGTAGCTCTGACTCCTAAAAGGAGGGTGGGGTCAGGTGTCATTGAGATGAGTACTGGGCTGGCCAGCAGCTTAGCAGCACATTGAGCATGAGGACCCAGAGCTTTGCCCTCAGTGCCCCTCAGCCAGCTTTTTGGAAGCTCAAGGGCGTCCTTCACTCTTTTCCCCACCACTAGCCTGGCAGTGCCTCCTCGGAAAGCTCTCTGGACATTGTCCTTGGTACTAGCCCCACTGCACTACCCTGGCCAGTTGGCATCAGCCTACTGCACCAGTCTCTCGGCTTCCAGTCCCCCAGCTCCAGCCCCATACTGGACCTGGAGGCCCTTTCAGACACAGAACTCTGATCACACTCATGTCACTCAGATGTAGCTCGTGGCATTCCAACTGGAAACACTTTGTGACTCTCACACAAAAGCTACTGAGTAAAAGGCACTTGAGAGGTGGCCTGGCCATGCCTGGCTTCCTAGGGGAGGACACACTTGGAAGCCTGAAACAGGAGGCAGGAATATTGACAGAAGTGAGGGAAATGGTGTGTGTGGGTTCAGGGGTAGAGCCTAAGGAGAACTGGAGTACTTGAGGCTGTCAGACTGTCCTGACAGAGCAGAGTATGATTTGGAGGGGCAGGAGGTCCAGGCCGAAGTACCAGGGCTGACTGTGACATCCCAGGAAAGAAGACAAAATACTAGAAATTCCCTTCTCTTGGGGGTGGTGTGGGGGGGCAAGATGACCTCCCAAAGAATCCCCCAAGCAGCCACCCACCTTCAATCAGAGACGCTGGGTTTCATCTGAAGAGCCACGTTCAGCCCATGGAGTTTGATGGGAAGGGAACCCATCCCAGTCTCAGGTGGGTCCGTGATCAGATGTATATCAATCAGCATAATCTATCGTTCATGGTCACAAGTATCAGTTCAGGGTTAGTTTTCTGTTTCAACTCCAACTGGTGTGCTGAAGTCCAATCTTGGGGTGGGGGGGGTCACTGCCCAGAGTTATCACAGACCCCGCAAGTTAAGGACTCAGTCCTTCACAAGACTGGTCCCACTTCAGATGCCTGCTGCAAGTGGAGTCCCCCAGCCATGTACACTCTTAACTCGCTACAGATCTGGGAGTTCTCCATGACCCTCCTCAGGTTCGATAATTGGCTAGAACAACTCACAGAATGCAGGGAAGTGTTGTGATGATTACAGTTTTTTTTTAACTTTATTAGGGAACAGTGTGTTTTTTCCAGGACCCATCAGCGCCAAGTCAAATCATTGTCTTCAATCTAGTTGTGGAGGGAGCAGCTCACTGGCCCATGTGGGAATCGAACCGGCAACCTTGGTGTTAAGAGCCTGTGCTCTAACCACCTAGCTAACTGGCCGCCCCTATGATTACAGTTTTATAACGGATACAAGTCAGGAAGAGATTTGAAGAGAAATACAGGGTGAGGTGTGGGAGGGTCCCAGTGCAGAGCTTCCATGCCTTGTCCCCATGGAATCAGCATAACACTCTCCTGGAATGCGAACATACCCATCAGGAAGCTCCATTGAGCTTCACTGTCCAGAGTTTTTGTTGGGGTTTCATTGCTTAGGGATGATTAAATCATTGCCATGTGACTGAACTCAATCTCCTGGTACCCTCCCATCCCCGGAGGTCGAGCCAGGTCAAATTCCCAACCCTTTTATCACAAGGTTGGTCTTTCTGGCCACCAGCCCCCATCCTGAAGCTATCTAGGGGCTTACCAGGAGTCACCTCATCAGCAAAAGCTCAGATGTGACCTAAGGTTCTCATGAACAACACACTTCTATCACTTGGGAAGTACACGATTTGTCATCCTCTGTGCCAGGAACGTGGGACACAGATCAGACAGTTTCTTTATTATCCAATAGATGGTCCTTGGGGGACCCAAGCTGAGCTGATATTTGACCCTCTTGCATTTGTTGGAGCTCTGATCTTTGTCTACCAGGGTTGTTAATCTGGAAGAAGGTAACCTTGCAGCTGCTGGTGGCCATTTTGCTACCTATGAAGGTACAACCCACCTAAGAATGAAGACAGTTCAGAGGAAAGCAGAGCTAAGAGAAGGAGACCAAGTTCAAGTGGACACTGTTTGAGCTTCTGGCTCCAGCCATGCCTGAAGTCATTCTATTTCTGATTGTTCAATTCTGTGAACCAATAAACTACGCCTCTTTTCATGTTTAACCTACCTAAGATTGGGATTTCTATTACCTGCAGCTGAAAGCAGCCTGAGTATTACATTCCCTGTTCCTGAGGAAGTGTTTCTCCATTTTATATTAATACCTTGGCTTAACCTGTGCCCTGATTCCATCCTTCGCACCTTCCCGAAACCTTATTCCTTCAACTACCGTCCTTTCTACTGGCACCTTTCTCCTTAGACTTCTGATATCATCAGGTCCCCCTCAGGATATAAACAGCAAATCTTTTCACTCTCTCAAACTACAACCCTCCATCTCTCTCTCTCCTTCCCTTTTTGGCCAAACTGTGTAGTACAGCTCTCCACATCCTTCCTTCCACTTATTCACCTTCCATTCATTCCTCGATCCACGGCCATCTGGCTTCTGCTTCCACCACTTCCCTAAAATTCCTCTCACCAACGTCATTCAGCAAGAGTAGTCACCAATGTCTTCCATAGGAGACAGTAACCGTGCCATGGACCCGTTTATCATCTCTGTGTGATGTTTGTCCCCAAACCACCCCCACCACACACACTCTATACCCTGGTCTTTGGGGTATGGTTTCTCTTCAACAGAGCTTCCAGGGTTTTCTTTTTCAGAAATGCCCTCGGGCTACTGGAGGCTTTGCCTTGATGAAGTGCCTGGAATTCACATCTCCCAGGGGTCAACAGCTGAGCATTGTTGAGGTAGGAAAGGCCCAGCTCCCTTGTTTCCGGACACATCTCCGGCATAACTTACATCCAGAGCGCCCCTGTGGGATCAAGTTGAACTGTCTGCCCAAGATCACATGCTTGCTTGGTTCCCTCTCCTCCCCTCTCCTGCTTCTCCCACTTCCTTACTGGTTTCTCCTGGTAGCACTTTTTAAGTAAATCACTTGCCCACAAATCCTCATCTCAGAGTCTGTTTCTGGGAAACCTGGCCCAAGACATCTCAGCACTTTTTACTCCTCTTTCTTTGCCTGCCTGTTAAATGTTGCTTATTCCCCAGAATTAGGTCCTGTCCCTCTTCTCTCTATGTATATTACCTGGCCAATCTCATTCCTGTCCATGGCTTCAACCATGACTCATGCCTGATCACCACCAAACTGCTTTGTGGGGCTCAGACCACGTACCCATCTCTGCTGGACAGCTCTACCTCGCCCCTGAATGCCTCCTGTATGCACTGTCTAATCCAGCAGCCCCTAGCCACATGTGGCTAGTTTAACAAAAATGAAAACTTCAGCTCCTTAGTCACAGCCATATTTCAAGGGCTTAAGAGCCACATGTAGCTGGTGGCTACCACTGCACAGTGCCAATATAGAACATTTAATTCGTTGCAGGAAGTGTAATTGGACAGATTAGAGCCATCATTCTCAAACTTAACTCATCATCACCGGCCCCTCGTTTCCTCAACGTGCTTCTCTGTCCTAGACAACAGTGGGCCATGGACAGAGAAAGGCTGCGTAAGGGTATCAGGGAGGAGGAAGGGGACCACAGAACTAAGGTCCTTTGCGTTGCCATGTTCCTCTGAACTGGGAAGATAGGTGGGCAGAGAGAACGATGCAGGCCATAATTAACAAAAGCCATCTGTGGGCTGATGCTAGTTTGGTGAGACGAGAGGTGGAGCTGGGTACTCAGGATGGCCAGGCCAGAACTTGCTTAATGAATTTTTCCAACTCCATCCGGCAGCCTCGGCTTTGAACAAACATCCTTGTGTGGGTCAAGGCATGTGTCCGTCTCCAAACTTGCCTGTGTTCCGGGAAAAGCACTTAAGCTGAAATTGGTTCAGGAAATTTTACGGTTAAGTTTCAGAAAAGAGGCATGCTGCTTCGACTAGAGGTGCTCAGCTCTCAGGACTTAGGTTTGGAGCTATGGAAAGCCATTTTGCCTTGAAGAGAGGCGAACCTGCCTGAGAATGAAGCCAAATGCATAGGAATGCTGACCCTAGAGAAGATAAACCACAGGTTCCTGGTATCTTTGGCCCTTCTATTCAGCTGGTCCTGAAGACGCTTAATCCACTCTGGACTTTTCAATGCTTAAGCACATAAGAGTCCCTTATCGCTTAGACCAGCTGCAGCTGGTCAATGAGAGACTGGATTGACAGGATCTCTGGGTGCTCATGATTTCAAATACCCTCTATACTTTAATGACTCCATTCCTGATGGTTCTCCTGAGTTCCAGACTGTTCGTCCACTAACTTCCGGACGCCCACAAGCACGGCCAAAAACTGACCTCCTTATGCCTGCCCACCCCTCCATCTTTATCTCCCGTCTCAGAGACTGAGCCTCCTCGAACCCCCAGTTCCTAGCCTCAGAGACGCCAAGGTCGCAAGTTCAGGCTCCGCCTCCTTGCGGGGCCTCCCCAAGGTCACCCGCGTCCTTCCCGGCCCAGCTCCTTGGGGGCAGTGTCCACGAAGCCCTCCGCCGCAGGGCCCGGCGCTCTAGGCTGCAGCAGGCCCTTCCAATCGCCTTTCCATCTCGCTGGCTTCCGGTTCCCTGTGGCCTCTCTAGCCTCCCCCAGGGCCTCCGGACTCTATGCCCTCAGGTGGCCTCTCTATGGTTGCCTTCTCGCCTTTCTCCTAGATTTCTCTGGGGGGACGCGCTGGTGGGACCCAATCCCCTCCTACGACGGCTTCTGTTTCCGAACCCCCCGAGAGTCACCCCCTCTTAGGTCTCCCGGGGTGTGCTGGGCAGGAGGACGGCGGAAGTGAGCGTGAAGGTGTCCTTCCCTCTCGCCGCTCTTCTCTATGGTCGCTTCCTTCGGTGACGGAAAGAGGGGCCCGGCGCCTGCGCAGAACCAGGCTGCGAGCTAGCCGCGGAGCCGGGGGCGGGGGGGCAGGGAGTGAGAGCCGCTGCCGCCGCCGCCGGAGCTAACCGCGGGGACCGAGATGCAGGTGGGACCGGAACCGGAATCCCCCTCTTCAAGTCCCTCTTCCTTCTCTGCGACCCGGCCTCGGCGCCTGCGAGGAGCCCTGAGTGGGAAAAGGCGTGGGTGGCCAGAGGCAGGAGGGGCGCTCGGCCCCGGAGAGGGCAGCAAGCAGGGCTGGTCCCCGGGAGACTGCGGCCCCGGGGAATGGGTGGGGAAAGGGTGTCAGGGGACTAGGGTCGGGTCCGAGTGGACTGCACCGGACCCGGAGGGTCCGAGCCGGGAACGGAGCCTGCACCCTCCACCACCCGCCCTTCGGGAAATCTCAGAACTGAGCCAAGAGGCAGGTGCACTGGGGAAATGGGTCTGAGTCCTGCTTGGCAGAAGAGAAACTGAGTCACCAGCTCCTCAGGGAGCCGCAGGGTCAGCGGGCCTGAAGGGGGCTGGGTCGGCCTGCGGTGCAGAGGGGTGGGGGTGGGGGGCCTGTAGGAGCTGAGGTGGTCTCTGCCCTGAGATTCATCTCTGCTGTGTCTGCACCTCTTGGCTCAGTCCCCCTGTGCTCCGTGACTCGTGCATCTCCTGGCTTCTCGCTGGTTTGGAATTGTCCCTATGATTGGAGCCAGCTGAGCGTGGAGGGCCTAGGCCACAGAGGAAGGGGAGAGGTGGCCGGTTGGGGGTTTGAGCAGGAGTCAGGTTTCGGGGAGCGTTCCCTGAGCTTCCCTCCCCTCCCAGTCCTGGTGCCAGTCATCTTCCAGTAAAATATGGGGGAGGAACACTCACAGAAGAGCCATGGGTTGTAAATTCTGTGCCCAGCTCTGCCATTTGCTAGTGGAAGACCTGAAGAAGTCTGTTCCTTTCTCTAATTTCTCTTTTAGAAAATCGGAACCCGGAAAGATAGTAATAACGGCAGTCATTGTGTGCTGACTTTGTGTCAGGCACCGACGTGCTTCATTTAATTGTCCCAACAAGCCTGGGGTTAAGAACCATGAGTTCTGTTTTATAGATACAAAATCTCAAGCTCAGAGAGGACATATGATTTGTTCAAGATCACATAGCTTGCAGGTGGCAGACCCTGGAGTTCATCCCAGGTCTGACTCTAGAACCCATGGCCTTTATGGACAGAGGCTGGCCAGCCTTTAGCGCACCCTCCTCCATGAAAACAGAGGGTGGTGAAAATACCTAGGGCCCCAGCTCCGTCTTATGTTTTATCTACTTTGTGGCCGGCAAAGACTTGCCCTGATCCATCCCTGGTGGTCTGTCCTCACCTGGTGCTGCCGCCATGAGCCCCAGTCTGAAAGGGCACCAAAGAAGTGCGCTGTGACCATTCCAAGCCTTGCTCACACAGCGCAAGGATGCTGGGTCCTCGGGCTAGCTTTCAAGACAATTATTGTTCTAATCCATCCCCCATCCATTCCCCGCAGTCAGCAACCTCCCTGCTCAGAGCTGGACCTCAGGCTACGTGAGGCAGGGTCTCTAAGCTCTGCAGACCGGGTTTCCGGAGGGCTGGGGCAGTGAGGGGCTCCTACTGGTTCCAGCCAGTCCCTGAGAGCAAGGACTTATGTGGTAGGAAAAACGGTAGACTTGGAGGTCTGAAAGTTTTCTGAGCTTCGGTTTCCTCATCTGTTATAGAGGTTATTAAAGCCTTTCACGGGGAAAGGTAAGAACAGCAAGTGGGAAGCATGTCATAAATATTGACGGATCCATTTGAGAGAAGGGAGGTGATGTGGAAAAGATGCCTTTTTAGAGGATGGTGCTCCGCAGCTGTTTATCACTCCTGGAACCAAAGCCTGGGGAAGAGGGTGGGCAGGCAGCAGGATAGGTGCAGGCTAGACACTGGAGGGGTGGGGGAACCTGTTGACAGGCTTGTGGGATGCAAGGGTCTGGGAAAGGGAAGGGGAGCAGTTTTGTGTTCTCCCTCGTTGCTCGCTGAGGAGTCTAGCCCAAAGTAGGGAGTCTGGCTTGGGTGGGGCTCTGCCCCCAGTCCCACCTCGGCAGTGACTCCGTGTATGTGCCTCTCTTCCTTCTGCAGCTGCTGCCGCTCACCCTGTATCTTCTGGCCGCTTCCCTCTTTGCCGCCCCTCCCCACAGGCTCCCCCCCTGCACCTCCTGGGGACCATCATGAATGGTGCCCCTTCCCCAGAGGATGGGGCCTCCCCCTCTCCTCCCCCCTTGCCACTGCCCCCTCCCCCTAGTTGGCGGGAGTTCTGTGAATCCCATGCCCGGGCTGCTGCCCTGGATTTTGCCCGCCGTTTTCGCCTTTATCTGGCCTCCCACCCCCAGTATGCAGGGCCCGGGGCTGAGGCTGCCTTCTCCCGCCGTTTTGCTGAGCTCTTCCTGCAGCATTTTGAAGCTGAGGTGGCCCGGGCCTCTGGCTCTCTCTCACCACCCATCCTGGCTCCCTTGAGTGCTGGCGTGGACATCCCACCACATGACCTGTCCCTTGAGACCTGCAGGGTAGGTGGTCCCCTGGCCGTGCTAGGCCCTTCCCGATCATCCGAGGACCTGGCCGGCCCTCTTCCTTCCTCGGTCTCTTCCTCTTCTACAACCTCCTCGAAGCCGAAGCTCAAGAAACGCTTTTCCCTCCGTTCCGTGGGCCGCTCCGTACGCGGCTCAGTCCGTGGCATCCTGCAGTGGCGGGGAACTGTGGACCCTCCCTCCCCAGCTGGGCCCCTAGAGACCTCGTCAGGCCCCCCAGTCTTAGGAGGAAACAGCAACTCCAACTCCTCCGGTGGGGCTGGGACCATTGGCAGGGGACTGGTTAGTGACGGAACATCCCCGGGGGACAGATGGACTCACCGTTTTGAGAGGCTGAGACTCAGTCGGGGAGGAGGGGCCTTGAAGGATGGAGCAGGGATGGTGCAGAGGGAAGAGCTGCTGAGTTTCATGGGGGCAGAAGAGGCAGCCCCTGACCCAGCCACCGTGGGCCGGGGAGGAGGGGCAGCTGGGCCTACCTCGGGGGGAGGAGGGCAGCCTCAGTGGCAGAAGTGTCGCTTACTGCTTCGAAGCGAAGGAGAAGCAGGAGGAGGAAGCCGCCTGGAGTTCTTCGTACCGCCCAAGGTGAGACCCAGAGACGGGTGACTGGGAGTGAGTGGGTGGGTGGCCAGAGCGGTCACAGCCCACAGCCGTGGCGCTACTGACCTTGGTTTTGAAAGCAAGCCCCTGACTCTGGGTTAGTAGCTGTGGGTAGGACTGAAAAAGGAGTGTTACTCCCTTTCGTCTGACTCCCTTAGGGTGTGGGAGGAAGCATGAACCTCTGGAGGGGAGGGGGAAATGGTCTCTGCCCCCCAAAAACCTGGAACTTGTTCAACCCCCATGTAGGCATCTCGGCCTCGACTCAGCATCCCCTGCGCCACCATCACAGACGTGCGGACAACCACGGCCTTGGAGATGCCTGACCGGGAGAACACGTTTGTGGTGAAGGTAGGGGCCCCGAGCTCCCCTGTGCCCCTGGAGCACTCGTGTTGGGGAGAAAGCTCTTAGCACGCATGAGCAAGAGACACGGTGGAAGGAGGTGCGTGTGTGTCCCTGGGGCTGTGGTGTGGCCTTCTGGGAGGAGGGGAGAGAGGTAGGACACACTTGTTCTCATTTGGGCGTAAATGGTCTCTGGGCCTCCCCCTGTCCCCACAGGTGGAAGGCTCCTCGGAGTATATCCTGGAGACCACAGATGCTCTCCGCGTGAAGGCCTGGGTGTCTGACATCCAAGAATGTCTGAGCCCGGGGTGAGGAGCCTGACCTGTCACTGAGGGTGCTGGGGGTGGACTGGGGAGCAGCCTGGGACCTCTCACCAAGTGATTCTCCTCCCTGTCTACAGGCTCTGCCCTGCTACCAGTCCCCGCCCCATGACCCTCCCTCTAGCCCCCGGGACCTCATTTCTTACAAGGGAAAACACAGATAATCTGGAGCTGCTCTGCCTGAATCACTCGGAGAGTCTGCCCAGCCAGGATTTGCTGCTGGGACCCAGCGAAAGCAACGACCGCTTGTCGCAAGGTAAAGGTGGAGCCTTAGGGAGCTGAGGACTCAGAACCGACCATGCAAGACCCTCTGCTCTCAGGTCCCAGAGTCACTGTGTACCCCACTCCTGCTCCTCAGCTACCTACCCCCACCCTTCAAATGTTTGCTTCTTATCCCTGAACATGCCAAGCCTCCCTTGGCCATTTAGGACCGTCAGCATCGCCACCCCACACAAGCCCGAAGCAATTCCCCATCCATCCTTCTGTCCCTGGCCTCATCACCTTCTCCATGAGTCTATGCAGACCCCGCTCTGGCTGGAGATGACAGCTCTCTCCAGGCTTCCAGAACGCTCTGTATACGTCTCCATTTTGCTCTTACTCTGCTTCAGTGTGTGTGTCGATGGTACCACGTTTTCTTTGGACTGTCTGTACTTCTCGGCTTGTCTAAACACTCACCTACCCTCACCCACACACCTAAACACACAGACTGTGTTTACCTGGCCTCCGCTCACCTGGCTGGAGTCCATGCCTCATTTCCTTTTCTCAGGACCTAGCATGTAGGCCGTATTCAGCGATTGAAACGAGTCACAGAACGGGCTTCCCACAGCATCGGGTCCAGTCCCTGTGGTTCTCGGGCAGCTGACAACAGGGAGGGACGTGGCTTTTCTGATGTCACCTGAGAGTCACTGACAAAGATGGGGCTCTGCCACCGTGATGCCTGAGCCACTGCTGTCTAGCCGGCACCTTCTGAGCAGTGACTAGGTCCTGTCCTGTAGGCTCAGGCTGCCACTTGGCAGGCAGTGGACGTGCCCTGGTACCTACCTGCTCTGTGCTGGGCTCCGGGGCAGGATGGGAATGTAGACACGCCCGAGAGGGGCTCCCTGCCTCCCGTGGGCTCACAGTCTGGCTGAGTTCACAAGACATCACTCTAAAAGGCAGGACTCTGGAGAGCCTGGCCGAGGGTCCTCTGAGCCCCTCAAAGCTCCATGGGGGCTCAGAGGGAGAGAATCGGGGATGCCGGAACAGAGTGGGCAGCCTGGCTGGTGGGGAGGTGGCCCAAGCAGACCAGTCCTGCCAAAGAGCAGCTCCTCCAGTTCTCAGCTTTGCCCCCTGTTTCTTTCCAGGGGCATATGGGGGCCTCTCAGAACGCCCCTCAGCGTCCATCTCCCCCAGTTCCACCTCCATCGCTGCCTCTCATTTTGACTCAATGGAACTGCTTCCCCCTGAGTTGCCCCCCCGCATCCCCATTGAAGAGGGTCTGCCAGCAGGAACGGGTCATCCGCTCTCGGCCCCGTACCCACCCCTGGACACTCCAGAAACAGCTACAGGTACCAGAGGTGTGAGTGTGTTCCTGCCTTCAGGCCCCCCCCCCCCCCCCCCCCGCTGAAACTCTTGTCACGAGGTCCGGGGGGATGTGACCCGACGGGAGAGAAGTGACACTGGAAGGGAAAGCCCGGCTTTTCTTCTCCCAGGATGGGGGAGGCCTCCCTGACAGCCCGGTTTCCCTCCCTCTCTCCCTCCTGAAGGGTCATTCCTGTTCCAGGGGGAGTCAGAGGGCGGTGAGGGCGACCAGCCCCTCTCAGGGTATCCTTGGTTCCACGGGATGCTCTCTCGACTCAAGGCTGCCCAGTTGGTACTGGCTGGGGGCACCGACGCCCATGGTGTTTTCCTGGTACGTCAGAGTGAGACGAGGCGGGGCGAGTACGTCCTCACTTTCAACTTCCAGGGCAAAGCCAAGGTCAGTTGCAGGAAAAGGCTGTGGTGTTCGTGGGGAGCTTGTGGGTGCAGTGGGGGGCATCACCGTCCCAGGGAGGTGGGCTCTGTGATTGGCAGTGGCCCGGGCCCGCCCCCGCTTCACGTTGCTTGTCCTGCCCTCAGCACCTGCGTTTGTCGCTGAATGAGGAGGGCCAGTGCCGCGTGCAGCACTTGTGGTTCCAGTCCATTTTCGATATGCTCAAGCATTTCCGGGTGCACCCTATCCCTCTGGAGTCTGGCGGCCCCAGTGACGTTGTCCTTGGCAGCTATGTTGTGTCCTCCCAGCGACAGCAGGGTGAGCAGAGCAGGTCTGCAGGGGAGGAGGTGCCCATGCACCCAAGAAGTGAGGAGGTGTGTGTGCCAGAAACATGGGGCAGGGGGCTGTGAGGAGGAGGCGAGGCTTGGTTAGGGGGAGCAGGGAGAGGAGGTGCTGCCTATGTGCTGGGGCTTCAGAGGGGACGAAGGGCGCTGAGAGGAGGCAGGAAGGCAGCGGTCTCCTGGCCAGAGCTGGGGAGAAGCTGGCGGGGCGGCGGGGGGTCAGTGCATCCCCATTCCATCAGACTCCTCTGTGCCATTTGTCTGTCTCCCCAACCTCGGCCCCTCCTCACAACCCCTCCGTGGGCCTGCCCTTCTTGGGAACGCTCGGTCAGGTCCCCCCTCTCTCCCCTTGATGTCTGATGTCCCTGTCTGATCTCTCCCTTTTCCCCACCCCGACGTCCCATCTGTCCCCACGTTGCCCCTCCCCCCCAGGCCGCGAGCAGGCCGGGAGCCATGCAGGGGTGTGCGAGGGCGATCGCTGCTACCCCGATGCCTCCTCCACCCTCATGCCCTTCGGAGCGAGTGACTGTGTGTAAGTGTGGTCCTCCTCTCACCACCGCCCATGATCCATCTTCCATGGGTGGGAGGGTTGCTCAGGAGATGGGTGTGGGGGAGACAGCACATGGCTCTGGGGGGTGAGTCAGGGGAGGCTGCTGCAAGAGCTCCCCCCCCCTCCACCATCACCCTGTCTTCTTACCATTCCTGTCCAGAGCCGAGCACCAGCCATCACCCACCCCAGCCCCCTGAACCCCCTTCATGGACAGATCCCCCACATCCTGGGGCAGAAGAGGCGTCGGGGGCGCCAGAAGTGGCGGCAGCAACAGCCGCAGCAGCCAAAGAGAAGCAAGAGAAAGAGAAAGCGGGCAGTGGAGGGGTCCAGGAAGAGCTGGTCCCCGTGGTCATATTGGAAGAGGCCGTAGCTCCGGGCCCAGAGGTCCAGGGAGCTTCTGGACCTGGTGGGGCCTCCGGGACCACCCCGATGGTGCAGCTCCAGCAGTTACCATTAGGGGGCGATGGAGAAGAAGGGGGCCACCCCAGAGCCATCAATAACCAGTACTCCTTTGTGTGACACCCTACCCAACCCTTTCTCCACTCTTCTTGCTCCCAGCCCGCAGCTCCGGAGCCGGGCTGGGCAAGGGCAGAGAGGAGCGGTCAGAACCCCTCCCCACATGCTTCCTGACCCTCGATGGCCAAGGGCATATATGTTGGTACAAGAAGAGGCTCAAGAGCCCTGTTAACCCCGGTTCATACACTACAGCTGCCCCATCCCCTGCGCGGGGCGTCGGGGCTCCCATTACCTCCCCGATGGGCTTCTCTGGTCAGCCCCACCCCTGGGGGCCGTTTCCCCATTAACCACCCCCAGCCCAAGGAAGGGTGAGGGGGAAGGGCTGTCAGTTAAAATTGAGATGGTTGTTGTTGTTGTTTTAAACAAAATGGAGAAGCGTAACTAAAATAAAAGGGTTTATCTCAGTTCCATCGTGGTGGCCGTGGCCAGTGTTTGCAGTGGGGGACAGGCCAGGATGATCCGGAGGGGACCCCAGTCCTATGCTTTCAGCCCACCGCTCTGCGGGTAAGAGCAGAGCCAAACAGCGCTGCTCAGGGTCTCCAGTCCCATTCTCTTAACGGGACACGTCAGTGAACAGCACGATTGAGGCTTGTCCAGGATCCCTCCTGCTCTTAGTTCTTCTGTTAAGGCTTCTTACCCTGGGGAGAAAGCAGGCAGACAGAGGTCATGGGGCTGGGGCTGCGGGCACAGGGCTGTTGGGAGACATTTTATGTGGCAGCCACAGAGTCTAGCTGCAAAGGGACCCAGGGGCAGGCTGGCCAGCCCCCTTCTCAGAGCCACGCTGCAGAGCTGAAGGCAAGGTGTAGCCACTCCAAGCTTCAGTGTCTTCATCTGTAAAGTGGGAAGATTCATCTAGGATGGAGCTCCTGACATAACGAGGCCTGACAGTTCACGAACTTGTTGCAATGATGTTACCAACCTTTTTTTTTATATCAGATTATTCATTATAAACTTGTACCAACTGTACAAACTGTTAGCCAAGTTTACTATTACATTTGGAAGTGCTGAAAAGGCTGTGTGAAAAAGTTAGACGACCTGAACTTTTCACCAACAATTCATGGCTCTTGCATCATAACAATGCACCAGCTCACACGGCACTGTCTGTGAGGGAGTGTTTAGCCCGTAAACAAAGAACTCTTGGAACACCCTCCCCACTCACCTGATCTGGCCCCAGTGACTTCTTTCTTGACCCGAAGATAAAGGAAATATTGGAAACATTTTGATGACATTCAGAACATCAAGGGTAATATGACGACAGCTCCGATGGCCATTCTGGAAAAGGAGTTCCAGAATTACTTTGAAAGGTGGACTAGGTGTTGGCATCTGTGCAGAGCTTCCCAAGGAGAGTACTTTGAAGGTGACTGTAGTGATATTCAGCAATGAGGCATGTAGCACTTTTACTAGAATGAGTTCGCGAACTTAAGTGTCAGACCTCGTAATTGGACTGGATAATGTTTCCATTGGAATTTCACATAGTTCAGAGTATTGGCTTCTCTTGAAAATCAGAAGATGCAGCCTTGTGCTATCCACCTTACCCATCTGCCCTGTCTCTACCAGACCATGTCACTCGTGACGTGCCTGGCCTGTGGGTATGTGAGTTTGCAACATCTCCCACCCCTCCCTGTGTCCCCAGGCCCCTCTGTTTAACCCAGGCTCTGCCCTCTGAATTGCGGCTCTTCCCTCCACCAGTGGAGGGCACTCCTGGGCTTCTCAGCTCTGCAGGAAATGGGTGCCAACAAGGAAGGGCCAGGTTCCGAAGGCTCCCACCTATTTGGCTTAGCCCTCTCCCCTTCCCATCTCTGTCCATCTCTGCCTCTTACCATTCTGCCTCTCCCCTTCCCACCCAGGCAGCGTGGAGCCTACACTCCCACTCCCCCCAGCCTCTGCCCCCACCTCTGGGCCCTACCCATGCTTATGACCTTGCTATTCTGGGCCTAGTGTCCTGTGGGGAGATGGACAGGAGACAGCTGGGCTCACAGGCCACCCAGGCTGGGGGCTCGCCTGGGGAAGCCTGCCGGCTCTCCCGGTTTTACCTAATCCCTGGGACTCCCCCAAACCTTGGCCTCAGGAGACAGGGGATAGAATTGGCTTTGCAAAGGTGGGGATGGTTTGGGGCCCTGGGTGCTATATTCTCAAAACGAGGTGGCCAGTGAAGGCTGTGGCGCCCCAGTGTAAGCAGGGCCTGATCCTCTCTTAATCTAGCAGCAACTGGTGTGCACGGCTCCCCCTTCCCCTAAACCCTGCCAGCCCTCTGGGACTCGCCTTCTGAAGACGGGTGGGGGAGGGGTTAGAGGCCCTCCCCCACCCCACCCCAAGATTTGCTTGTCTTCGCTGGAGGAGCCTAAGAGACAATTTCCCTCTGAGCCTTTAGGGATGGTTCAACTGAAGCTCAGAACTGGTCAGGGATTGGCTAGGCTCTATCTCTGTGTCCTTCACAATTAGACCTCCCATTCTCAGCTGCAGGCTTCAAATAGGAGGGAAAGAACACCTCCATCTCTGGGCCTGGAGACCCCTGTGGCCTGGTGGGGGTCTAAGAGCAGGTGCCTCCCGCTCGGCCTCCTCCATCCCAGCTCACACCCCAGCCTCCCCGATGGTGAGCCTTCTGGGCTCTTGGCTTTCCCTCTCTGGCTTCAGTTTCCCCTCTGGGAAGTCGAGGGAGGTAGAAGTGACTAACCTTAAAGGGCCCTGTTGGCAGCAGCGTCCTGGAAAGCCTGCCTCCTTTCCTCGGCTTCTCTGAAGCTGAGATCCGTGTCCAGCCTTCTCCCCCTTCTCCATGTTTGGGCATTCCTGCTCCTTTAAGACAGTGAGCCTGTCACTCCTCCAGGGGGTGTCAGGGAGACACCAGCCGGTGCAAAAGGCTTGGAAGATGCCAGGCCCAACAGTGGCCTGAAAGGTGGGTGGGTGCTGGGCCAGGTGAGGTGCCCGTGGCTGGATACTCACACCCCATTGTCTGAGCCCCCCTTCTGTTTCAGGGGAGGGTTTGTGGGAACCATGAAGGGGAAGGGAAGGAGCACCGTGTCCTCAACTCACCCGGGAGGCTGCCCTCCCCTAAATCCAGGAGGAGAAAGGGATGGGGGGGGGGCAAATCCTTAAGTGCCCTCCATCCCTGCTGGCCTATCCACTCCCCAAAAGTGGGGCTTCCCTTGCCTTTTCCCTGCTGTCCCTTGTGCCACTGTCTGCTTAGCCACTGAGTGCCAGAGATGGAAGCAGCCATGAGAACCCATTCACTGGCCTCTGATTCTCACCATTTCAGGAGACGGAGGACTTGAGGTCAGGGTCGTGAGGCTGCTTTTTCCCCTCACTGACCTTCCACGGTCACTCTCACCAAACCTTTCTACTCTCTCTGCCATCCTTTCCTCCCCCACCCACACCCCCATGCTACCCCTCTGCCCCTCCAGCAGCTGCCCTGGTAACAACCAAAAGATGCCCCCATCCCAGAGCAGAGGTGGGGATGGGGGTGGGGGTGGGGGGCTCAGAGCAGCTGCTTCTCCGAGGAAGCTGACACCAAGGCCAGCCGCTCAGTAACGACTTGTGGCTTTGCACCCAGCCCTGGGCCCCCACCCACCTGGCTGCCACATGCCAGCTCCCTGCTGTCCCTTTTCCCCACTGCTCCTCAGACTTCCCTCTGACCCTGGCAACCCTGTCTCTGCTCCCCAGCCTTGTCCTGTCCTTGTTTCCCCTAGACGTGTCCCCATCAATCTACCCTCTCCCCGTGCCTTTGGTCTGGAGCCTCTGCTTTATCCAGCGTCCTCAACCCCTTTCCTTGAGGCCCCCTCCCTCCTGCCTCTTCCCAGGGGGTGTGCCTAGGGCCTGAACACACAGCCCCGGTCCTCACTCCCCTTGAGGACAGATACTTCAGAGCCAGGTGGAATGCAGACCATAGCCATCAGGGGTCTGCCAGGTAAACCCTTTAGGTTAAAGAGAGAACACTGTGGGATGGAGGTGACCCTTATTCCATGACTTGGGGTGACCCCCACCCCCATCCTGAAACAGTTATCCCTCCCCCTCTGCCATCAGCACATTCTGCAGCCTCTTGGGTTACCTTGCTGCCTGGGTATCCCATTTTCTTGGGGGTGGGGTGGGATTCACTGTCAGGGATGGGGGGGCTGGAGGCTATGTTCCCAAAGGCTGAGTTAGAGCGATTGGCGGGGGGAGTTGAGGGGAGAGACAGGCAGTCCTGGCTTTGCTCATCGGGCCTGGACACTAAATCCCCTGTTGATGGCTGCGGCAACCCCTCCCTAGGGTAGGGTTACCATCTTTACCCTGTCCCCTTGACCCTCTCCCTTCCCTACTTCCCCTTGTCCCTCTAGAGCCACTTCCTTTGGCCCCCAAAGGATGTTCTCCCCCTCTTCCATCCCCTTGAAAGTTGGAATATCTCTGCTGCCCTTTCAACAAGCTAGGTGAAGAAGGAGGCTGGCAGGTTCTGCGTGGACGTGGACGAGACGGGATGCGGGGGTGGGGGGTGGGGGTGGGGGGTGAGGAAAGTGAAGGGTGAAGGCCTGAGAGTTGAAGTGGGCTTAAGGGGAGAACTGGGGGGATGAGTTTGGAATAGGAAATTTTGTGCAACCGAGGAAGCTGAGGCAATTGGGGAGGGGTCCATAGCAGAAGACAAAGTGAAGTCTCTCTCTCTGCCCCCCCTTCCCTGGGGCTGGGGCCACCTTAGCTTCCCTCATGAGTGACATCTCAGGCTGCAGCCCCACTGTTCCCCCTCTGTCAGCAGAAATATCTCTCTCTTCTGACCCCTCCTGCTGGAGCCTCAGCCAGCCAATCCCTGACCTGGGGGAGGGGGGAGCCTGGCCCCCCTACTCCCTCATAAGGACCAGCTGGGGGCTGGGGGGTGGCCGGCTGCTACAAGTGGGACGGGGGTCAGAGCTTCGTGGAAGGAAGAAAAACCTGGGGGGGGGCAGGAGAGAAAAAAAGCCCCAACAGACAGGCAGGTGGAGACACTGAGGAAAACCCCCCACTCGTGAGAACCCCCCCAGAAGGAACACACCACCCCCTGGCCCCCAGGAAGGGAGCACAATGGAGGCTGCACACTCCAAGACCACAGAAGAATGTCTGGCCTATTTTGGGGTGAGCGAGACTACAGGCCTCAGCCAGGACCAAGTTAAGCGGCATCTGGAAAAATACGGCCCCAATGGTAAGTGTCCCTTGGAGGCTGGTAATGCGCTCCCGCACACACGCAGCATACACACATACTCACACTCACACATACACACGGGAGCCTCTCCTTTTTGGCGGGGATATCTTAGGAAAGAGCTGGGTCCAATGACTGCAGCGGATAAGAGGATACTGAGAAAACGGGGTCCCTGAGACCCGGAGTTTTGGGAAGTTTGATGGGATGACCTTGGAGAACCTCAGATGCCCTTTTGATGGCCTGATTCTCTTAGTTCGCCACAAAATCCTGGGTACGGGGGTGGGGTGGGGGGGTGCATCAGACGGAACCCCAAATGAATGTCATTTTCTTCTTTTTCCCCCGGGTAGAGCTCCCTGCTGAGGAAGGTAAGTGACTGGAATCCCTGAGCAATCCTAAATGACCCCCGCCCCTCTGAGCCTCACGCCCTTCTCCCGGCCTCTCCCTACTCACTCCTGGGGCAAATATCCCTCCCTAAGGGTTAGAGTCTGACCAGCGAGGGAGGTGGGGGCAGAAGTTTCCAGGCACTTTCTCCTTGGGCGTCCAGCCCTAGAACAACTGTCCACCACTTTGAGGAGCCTGTCTGTGGAGTCCTGGCAAGCTCCCTCAACCCTTCTCTCAGTACCAAGGCCCATCACCCCAAGCACCGTCCTGCTCCAGGCTGGAAGTCAGGGCGCTCCCCGTCCCTGGCCCCCAGCGTGCACCTGGAGTCCCAGCCTGTTCATCCGCTAGACCTTAACCCCGGGGACGCCGTCCCCTTGCCTCTTCCCCCAGGGAAATCCCTGTGGGAGTTGGTGGTAGAGCAATTTGAAGACCTCCTGGTGCGGATCCTTCTCCTGGCTGCCTGCATTTCCTTTGTGAGTGTAGTTGGAGCATCTGGCGGGGAGGAGGGCTGGTTGGGGGTGTGGAGATCCGGAGAGGGTGCTGAGGGTGGGGAGAGCCCCAAATCGTAGGCTCCTCTAGTCCAAGCCCTCAGCATCCTATTCTGCAGACCAGAAATGACGGGGATAGGGGGGGGGGTTAGTTTTGCTGATTTGCGCACTCTGTCCTCCCCCACACCCCGCAGGCGGGTTTTATTTTAAGCTTTAACGGCGTTCTCAGCCAAAACCCTGAAGCTAAGCCACCCCCCCCCCAAGCTTCCAAGGCTCCGAAGGCTCGGGTTACCCCCCTGAGCGAAGGGCTCCCCGGCTCAGTCACTGCGGCCACTCGGGGGCACCACTACTCCCTGCGTGCCTTAGGCTCAGGCACCACTCCACCAATCCCCAAGCATCCTGGCGCCTCTGCCCCGCCTCCTGGCACTGATTGGTCGAGGCAAAGACCCTCCTAGAGGCGGGAAAGAGCTGCTGGTGCGAGGGTGACTCCAAACCCTCACTTGTCGCTGGTTTTGCCTCTGCCCTTCATCAGGGCTTGAAATCCTGGGATCCCCTTCCTCACCAGACTGGCCTGACCTTCCTGCCCCCCCCCAGCCTCAGGGCTGCCCCCGCGCGCTCTTCGGGGTCCTGCCACCTCTCCCCCTTCCCTGGGGCTCCCCTGGGCACCCACCGTGCCAGCCATCCATCCTGCATGGTGGAGTTTCTTCCTTAACATCTTAGTCCTGCTGGAAAATAAGCCTCCGGAGGCCTCCCCAAAAATCTCCCCGTCCCCTGGTCTCTTTCACGCAGGCCTGTGGGCCCCTGAGCGCTGGCTGGCAGGGCCCCCCTTCTCCCTTCTCAGAATTGCTCCTTGACATTTGCCTGTGGCTGTTGCCTTTGCAACAGCTGGGGTGGGGTGTGTACAGGAGGCCCCGTAACACTATCCGCTCCCCCCTCCTGCTCCCTCATGAAATCGGAGCTTCCCTGCCTCGGGCTGTGGGGGAGGGCTGTGGGTGGGCCAGGCGCCTGCCTGCGAGGACCACAGGGTTTTTCCTATTGCGTTGTGGCTCCCGTGGGATGGATGTGGCTGTGGGGGCTGTTGGCCTGGGTGCCCCTTGAGCTTTGTTTACAAGCCAGCAACTCTGTCAGGGAAACCTGAAAGCATTTCTCACTAATCTCGGAGGGGGTGCGGGTCTGGGCCCGTCTGGCCCTGCTGAATATCAGCAATGGCCGCATGTGTGTGAGTTTGGGCCCTGGAGTGTTAGCTCCGCAGACTACGTGTTGCCCTGCCTGCTGTGCTCCCGCATAAGTGCTCAACCTTCACTGGCTTTCTTTACCTGTTTGAGGAGCTCTCTTACCTGTGATTCTCCTTTCTCATGCTTCCCAGGTGCTGGCCTGGTTTGAGGAAGGTGAGGAGACCGTCACTGCCTTTGTTGAGCCCTTTGTCATCCTCTTGATTCTCATTGCCAATGCCATCGTGGGGGTTTGGCAGGTTAGCTCTCACCCCACTTCATTTCCTCACATCCTGACACTGAACATGAGGCCATGCCCCCGGCCCCCATCTCTTCCCCAGGCTTGCCTTGTTCTCTGGTCCTATTGCTCAGTTTGGAAATGGGCCAGAGTGTTGGAAAGAGGTGGGAGGCTGGTGTTCCCACTGTCACTTGCTGGCTGTATAATAACCCTGGGCAAGTTCCTGCATCTCTCTGAGCCTCAGTTTCCTCATCCATAAAATGGGGCTAATAATCCCGTCCCTCAGAGTTGGGGTGAAATATAAAAAGATGATGATTGTAAAGGTGCCTGGCCCTGTGCCTGGCATATAGTAGGAGTTCAATAAATGCTAGTTTGAGTTTCTTCTTTCTGTCACCTTACCACCCTCTACTTTTCCTGTCCCCTATTTTCTGATTTTCTCCTCTCCCAACCCCCCCTGAACTGTTTTCAGCTGTAAGTGACAGGTTCTTGAACACATACACACACCAACTCTAGTGGAGGGTTTGTCTACTCCCCCGCATAATCCCCCTCTTCCTCAGTGATGTTCCTGTTGCCCCAGGACTCTGGCCCCTGCTCTGCCATCTCTACATTCTCCTGCTAGTCCCTTCCCCTTCTACAACCTTCCTCCCGCTGATATTCTCCACCCTGTTCCACCAGGAGCGTAATGCAGAGAATGCCATCGAGGCCCTGAAGGAATATGAACCCGAGATGGGGAAAGTCTACCGGGCTGACCGAAAGTCAGTGCAAAGGATCAAGGCTCGGGACATTGTCCCTGGGGATATTGTGGAGGTGGCTGGTGAGTGATGGGAATGAGTGGTCCAGGACGGGAGGCCTTGGGTTCCAGGCCAGGAAGATGTGTCTGTTGGGGGTGGGGGCTGGGCTTCTGGCACCCAGGAGGTAGCCAGGCTGGTGGAGTCTTTGCTTCTCCTTCCCAGACTCCTCGGGAGGTCACCCCAGGGCACTGTGACCACAGCACCCCCTCCCCGTCAGAGTCTCAGCAGGAACAGCCAGTCCTGTCCCTGAGGCTGCAAGCAGACCCCCGCTCCCTCCTCCTCTCACCCAGCACTTGCAATCAACAGGTGGAACCCAGGCTCTGCCAATGGTCCCGTATCCACCCCCCCCTGAGGCCTGGCCTCCCTCTCCTTCCACCCACCCCCAAGCTTGGTCAGCCTTAAATCTTGACCTCTCTGTGCCCTTGAGGCCTCTCAAAGGGGAAGGAGCGAGGGGAAAAGGGAGGAGGCTCAAGCCCCCGACCATGTAAGGGAAACTCAGGCCCCAGCAGAGAGCACGGGACCTGGAAGGAGGAGAGCTCAAGGAGGGGCCCCGCCTCTCCTGTGAGGGACACTTAATGCCTGACCAGGGAGGGGTGGGGGCCGGGTGGCTAAGATTACTGGGATTCTGCCCCCTTCAGCGGTTTTTATATTTGCCCTGTGCAGGCCTCCCCATATCTCTGGGCCCCTGGCATTGGGGACTGTGTCTTTCTCCGCCGGCTTCCCTCCACTAGATACCTACGTGGCCACCACAGGAAACTTGGGGAGAAGGAGGGAGGGCAGGCTGAAGACCCCAGCACCCCATCACAGGGCTGTCCTGCTATGGTGACAGTTTGCAGTCAGCGCCATGAATGTCTATAAATATCACCTTGGCTTGGGTGACAGGGTGTCCCGCCCAACTCCATGGCCACCCTCCTCCCTCCTCCGTCAGCTTCCTCTGGCACAGGAGGAAGAACCTTAGAAACGGGAAGAAAACCCATGGAACCCTGTCCCCAGTACCATCCTTGGTACCAGGCAGGATTGGGCAGAGGCCCTGGGAAGCAGGGCATCTGCCTTGCAGCCTCCGCCAAGGCGGCTTCCTGTCCTGACCCATTCCTTCTAGGCCTCTCCCCGGGCCTCCCCACCAAGGCTCAGCTCTCTGCTGGGTAGTGCTTCCCTGCCTCCCCAACTCTCTGTTCCCTGCAGGCCTCCCCTTCTCTCCTGCCCATCTCCCAGCTCGCTCACCCAGCTTCCTGCGGGCTCAGGTGTATCTTCTCCATGTGGACCTGTTCACCTGTGCCCTCTGCCTCAGCCCTCCTCCCCCTCCTCCTGAACCTCCCCTTCTCACACTTCCCTCTCACTCACTCTCTCCTGCATCTTGCTCCTCCTTTTGTTGACATTGATTTTCTTCCTGCCTCCCATGGCTGGTCCACATCATTTGCTTTCCCCAACACACGTCTCCCCAACTCACCCTGTTTTCTTTAGTTCTTTTCTTGCCTTGCCCTCCTCACCTTTCTCACTCTTGCCCCTCTCTGTTTTAGTTTCTTGTTATACACCTGGATTGTTCCCAGTTTTCCCTTCAGTCATTCAATTTATTGAGTACATACTACGTGCCAGCCCCTCCCCTCACAGGGCTGACGGCCCAGTGGGGAGAAAAGCTTTCAATGAGGGGGACAATTGGAATGAATGTTAAGAGGGAGATGCTTGCTGGGGCTCCAGGAGCACACGTGAGGGCCTGTCTCGAGCCCAGGGGTGAGCGTCCAGCCCGGGTGACCTCCCCGAGACCTGAAGGATGGAGGCGAGGTGGTTGGACAAAGACCGGGGTTTTCTTAGAAAGGAAGAAAAATCCTTTCTCAACTGACCTCATTCTTCTCTTCTCTGTCCACAGTGGGGGACAAAGTCCCCGCAGATATCCGCATCATCTCCATCAAGTCAACCACCCTCCGGGTGGACCAGTCCATCCTGACAGGTGGGTTGGGCTGGGTGGGAGGCTGACTCCAGGGGTATGGGGATGACGATTTGACCGGAAGGAGCTGGGCAAGCCAACAGGAATCAAACTGTAGGAGGAGGAAAGAGAATGCCCAGCAGTGGGGCCCCCTGCTGGCTCTGCAGGGGCAGTGACGTCAGCAAGACCGAAACACAAGGGGTCCTGGGAGATGGTGGGTCATGGGTGCCATTGTCCAGATGGCCCATCCTTTCCACACAGACATAGGGACACCCTCACCTAGAGAATTGTCCTGTCTCCTCGAAAGCCCACACATGAGGAACCATAGATTCCAGGACAAGCTTAAAACACAGCTGCCCCTGTGTCTCCACTGGGAGAGACAGGGGGAGAGGCAGGTGCGTCCCTGTGGTCCCTGTGGTCCCAGGGCCAAGGCTGGGCTGACGCAGCGTGGTTGCCCAAGCCCCTGCCATCGGGACTGGGAAGGCAAGGTCCCCCGGGTCACGCCTCTCCCTCCTGGGGACGTGCTCTGCAGCTGACAGCACACTTTCACACACTTTCACCAAGGCCTTGTTCTGAAGTGTGTGTATCATCGTCCCCATTTCACAGAAGAGCAAACAGAGGTTAAATGATCCAAGGTCCTGCAGCCTGTAGGGGTCAAGCCAGGGCTCAGGTCAAGGTCATTTCACGCTACGTGCAATGGATTTCCTATGTGCCCCCCATGGC